TATAAGCATGTTTTTATTTGTATATCTACCTAAATACTCGATCTGATCAGGACAAAGAAATTTTGGGGGCTTCAATGATGAGCTGCTGAAATAGGTAAGGAACTTTATGTTTGCCAACTGTCGTAATACATAATTTATTATCAGTAATACACTAATAATTATTGATACCTACATAACATTTAAATTTCAAAATTGTAAATGAAATAGTGCTTTTTTTAACAGAATTTCATTACTATGTTCCCGGTTTACCGTCACACATGTCACATTCTTGAAATCTATTAATAGACAATAGTCAAATAAATAAAAATAAAAACAAAACAAATAAAATTGTATTACTAATGGTGTTTCAATTATGGTGATATAACCGCTGTGGAAAAAGCTGTAGGTAAAAACGAGTATTACTATAGAGGAAACGGGATACGACCACGACGTGGCACAAGACACGGAAAAGAGCCGAAGCCGGTGCCGATGCACGAAACGGTTCAACAAACGAGAGGACAAAAAAATGTCTGCCGGGCGAACGCCAAAAAAAGGCGAGCCTAAACGGAGGATTTGTTCAAAGTGTCCGGCGAACAAAACGGCGTCTAGCTGGACACAAAAGAGCTGTGAACTCAGGACAAAAGCTCACCTTGGCGTATTACACAGGCGTAATAAAGGCGAGAGGGGAGGGAGCCAAGACTGCAGCGACGTTTAAAAGCCATTGTGGAATTAATAGCCAATGATCTGCAGTAGCTGACGGAGGTTACTTCTGCCCTGCGGTCAGAATTCTAGCCCTGGATCAAAAGAAGTGTTTATGTAAAAAGATGATACCTACCTATAAATTATAAAATATATGGCAATATTTCCGTAATATTGTGTACCTACATTTAGTATTTATACTAATAAACGTTATTATTGTTATGTAATTTATTTGGTTTTATACTTTTATTTGATATTATTGAATTTTTAAGCTATTGATCAATGATCAAAAAAATGTGACAACAAGTTACATCGAAAAAATCAAAAACACTGCGATTTTACGATAAAAACGATGTGTAATAAGCTCTCCGTGGATTTTAATTTCTCCAATTTGCTTAGTAATTTTATATTTTTCTCTACAATGTGCTATACCTATTAGAGTATAGTTTTGCCATTCAGAATTCTTGTCAATCTTGCTGTGAGTGGCGCTCATTCAGATTGTATTGTTATCAGTATTATGTTTATTCTATAATAATTTTAGCTAACTAGCTAACAAAATATATATTATGCTGTATATTAATATTATACATATAATATGATATTTCCCACTATAGGGCATAATATATTATCAATAGAAATAAAGTATTTGTAACGTGTTCAATACGAGTACCTTAGTAGTTAGTACCTATAGGTACTAGATAATATAGGTACTGGGTGATTCTTTTATCAAACAACACTCATTATTTCAAAAAGTGTAAATTTTTTTGAAGATATTTTTTTACATAGTTTCAAGATGCTTACAAAACAACGTATTTTATTAAAAAATTATATTTTTAATTATTTTTTATCCTTATAATTTTTTAAGTTTTTTACTTTTTTGAATGACAACATAGGGTTTTAATTTTATATTCTAAAGTAGAATAACGTTGTTTTATACGCAACTTGAAACTATGTAAAAAAATATTTTCAAAAAAATTTACACTTTTTGAAATAATGAGTGTTGTTTGATAAAAGAATCACGCTGTATAATGTTATATAATATGACAATTTATTGGATATTAAATATTAATTTTAATGTAAGACCCTAATTATTTCATAAACTTTGAACGTTTTTTTACATTTTTTTTAAGTCACTAAAAACAAAAATTTCTTAAAAATTAAAATATTTATAAGTGTTAGGAACCAGGTACTAGGTAATAAATTACTTGTCCAAAATTGGATTTTTATTGATCAAATACTCATAATAATTCAAATAATATTAATAATAGATATTTCTTTTGTTTTTCACGGTGCTTTTGAAAACTACTGGGAAATTTTTACTTTTGACCCCCCCCCCCCCCCCAAGTACCAACCAGATTGATTCAATTTCCTGTCAGAAAAGGTACTGTTGAAGAACATCCAAGCATTTTTACTGTCCTAAGTAGGTAATAGGTTTATGGATACATATTGATATGGTATAAAAATATGATGTGCTAATGTATTATTATTGTCGTTCTTATAGACGTTCGAACCAAAAAATAAAATTGATAATAGAAAGTAGAAACGTTTGTTTGGCCATTGTGTAATATTATCGTTTCCTGTATTAAAGGTTAAAATAATCGCTCTGCTGTACAGTAGCATACAAGTGGATCGCTGTAATGCAGTGGTTCCCAACTTAACAATAGGCACGGACCACTTTTATAAATTTTTCACCGTCACGCATAGGCGGACATTTGGTTGAATTTTTAGGGGGGCTATAATATAATAATTCACTGTAAAGTGACCCGCAGGCCTACACACAAGTATAACAAATTACTAAACCAAATATTTATTTTAAGTTGTAATAAAAAAAATACTAAATAACGTATATTAAACAATAATTTATACAGAAGGATTTATTAATAACTTTGGACAATCAAGAGCTACAGAAATAGCTATGCAGTATGAGAGTGGATGTAGTTTAGATGATTTCTTCCCAATTACAAATGAAGAGGATTTACAATTACTTAACAATAAAATTAAGTCTGATAAACAATTTCGATTAAATATGGTAAATTCATAAACTATTATTTGTTGAAGCAGCTGTTAAAGTGTATTAGTTCAATTTTATTTAGGTTTCCAAGTTATCATTACTTGTGGGTGCAAAAGATGTTGGTGATAGCGTGAGACGACTTATGGGACGTATGTTTATCGATGATGTTTTAACCGAGCATTCTCTTCTGGGAAAAAAGAAGAAAAAAAACTTCTCAGAATTGCCTGTTTATCAACTATTGATAGGTGAGTACTTAACTTAAAATGATTTATTTATTAATAATAATACTTTTGATACTTTTAGGTACTGTAGCCTTTAGTTAGTATCATAGTTTAAAATTGACCTTATTTATTAGGTTATTACATATTATTAGGTTAATGATGATATAAATAAGCCACACCCCAAAATACATAATATGCTAAAACTCTTGTTTAAAATTGGCACTATTAATATAATATTAAGGCCCCTGTAAACCCTATTAATTTTTCATCAAAACAACCTTAGCGACTGACAAAAATTAAAGTAGGTACTAGTGGTTCGATTTAAAAAAATGTAAAGATGTTTTGATTGGTCAACAAGTCTACTTTGCATCGGTTGGAGCATATTTTTTATATTTTAAATACTTTTGAATATATTCAATACTAAACATTTATAAATGTATAAAATGTAAAATATTTATTCTCGTCAAGAATTTGCTAAAATTGAAAAAGTGCTCCGACCGATGCAAAGTAAACTTGTTTACCAACACAAACATCTTTACATTTTTTAAATCGAACCACTAGAACAGGGGTCGGGGAACCTTTTCGTAGGAAAGAGCCATTCTTTTAAAAAAATACAAAACTATAATATCCAGGGAGCCGCACAGGTTTGAACAACCTTTTTTTAGTAAGCAATAAAATAAAACATAATAATACGTCTTAAATTTAGAAAATATAGAAAAACTTTATTTCATTAATTCATTATTATTATTATTATTGTTTATACAAATATAATATTATTTAATTAAACACAATAAAACACAAAATAATTTATATTTTACGGATATATCTATATTGATAATTATCCAAAGAGCCGCAGGTTCCCGCGCACTCTTGCACTAGAAGTACCTTAATTTTTGTCAGTGCGACGGCTATTTCACGTCCATATATTGGTTTTGAATATTTTGATCTAGACATTCAATGACTTGTGCATGTGCGTGCGTGCGAACATAAACCAGATAAGAATAACAATGTATTGTAAATTGATGCGGGTCGTGGTTGATGTTAGGGGAGTATACACTATACACACACTAATGATCAGTAATCGCAGGAACGAAATAATTGCCTAAACACAACTCCTTAAAAATGACACGTTTACAGGGGCCTTAATGAGCTTTTAATTCGTCTAGTATTTTTAACCCAATTTATAAAATATTTATGTTTTAAAATACACTACTAATAAATTGAAAATTAGACCAACATAATTATTAATTATTTACCTTAAAATAAGATTATATTATTATTGATTGTTTAAATACAAAGTAAATGTAAGATAATTTTTAAATATTATAATGTTCCATTTTGTGGTGGACATTTTATTTGTTTTAACTTTATATATGTTTTATTTGTTTTAGATGCATTGAGAATCCATCAAAAATACAAAGATAAATCAATAAAGATTTTAATGACTCATTGGCAAACTGGCTCAATCACTCTAAATTTAGACTTCTAAACAAAGCAGTTGAAAAAAATAACAAACTATAAATTGTGTTCTTTTATAAATATGAATTAATAAATAATAAACAATATATTAGGTACTATTACTGCATTAAAACTTTGTTTTATTTAAAATCTGCATTCCATTTTATATAAGATGCTCAAAATAATTAAGTATATTATTTAATCTTATAATTATTGTAATATAGGTACTGGTGTTATCGAAGTATTATTGAATGATATTTGATTTTTGTTTAAAAACAGTAAATTTTTATTAATTGTATTTATTGACAGAAGTTATTTTACAATTAGTACATTCAATCTATTAGTTAACAAACAAATTTAAATACAAAAACTACAAGACAGGACAAGACTTTATTTTCGGGGTGGCGGCCGTGGCCACCGCCTGCAAGAGGACTGCGATTGGACGACCGCGGAGGTGCCCGGCCACAATTTTTATGCGGCCATCGTCCGCGTACGTCTGCTGGTCGGTGGCCCTGATCATCGCACTTTATCCCACCGAAGTACAATAGGAACCCAGACAACAAAATAAAGTTTAGAGAAGTTTCAAAAACATTTGAAATATAATTTTATTTTGTTGTCTGGACTCTGGGTTCCTATTGTACTTCGGTGGGATAAAGTGCGATGATCAGGGCCACCGACCAGCAGACGTACGCGGACGCCAGGACGATGGCCGCATAAAAATTGTGGCCGGGCACCTCCGCGGTCGTCCAATCGCAGTCCACTTGCAGGCGGTGGCCACGGCCGCCACCCCGACCGTCCCGATCGCCAACACGAGTGACGGCGTCCACGTCTTTTAGACGCCTGGCCACGAGCGTAACGCCCCACAGAGCCGGATACCATCGGTCCGTGGCCCGAGCCGTCACGAGCGGCAGAACGGCCTCGTCCAGCCACTGACGCAGTGTGTCGCTGCGTCCGTGCATGTTGGCCGCTGTGGCCGCAGCGAGGTGGTCGAACAGCGTCCGATAGCAACCGGCGTCCCGGATGCCGTACAGCACAGTCCGCCCCTGGCGCCATGGCACCACCACAGAATGCGGTCTCGTGTTGTTGTCGAAATACGGCACGGGGTCGTCGTTGCCCAGCAAACCGTAACGGCCCACGGCCACGCCACCGCAACGTTCCGAAGACCCGTCACCGGGCCTAACCGCCGTTCGTGGCTCACGTTCGGCTGCCCGCCACATCGCTAACGACACGTCCTCGCTGGACCTCTGGTCTCTCACTATCGGTCTCGCCCAACCTCGGCCGTCCGTGCCCAAAATGTACCTGTGGACAGCCGCGCGAATGATGATTATATTTCGGTATAATCACAATAATAACAATGAAATCATTTACAAATAACCATTATTATACACATCGAGATGGATATAATAGGTATTATGACAGACAGTGATTGTATAATGTATATACCTACCTAATAAATATTTAATAATTTTAATATCAATGTTTAATTTCGTGAAGTATTTCCCCAAGCACATGACTCTATTTCAACCATTTTTTTTTTGACACTCGACTTGTAAGATCTTGCATAAATAATAATAAATAACTGTTTAAAATATTTGTACCTGTATAGTGGTCCCAACGGGTCGGAACGGATGCGTATGTGACGGTGGTGATATCGTATGGGCTGAGCGGAAACGGGGTCGTATAATCTTAACAAGATCAGATTTAAATAGTACGGAACGCGTTACGGGGGAAAAAAATAGAATAAAAGTAGTACCTACCCTCATTTAAGCGGTTGTTCGGAGGTTAGGGTTCGCTATACCTGTATTTATACGCAGGCCCGTCTGCGGTACTTACTTACATCTACTTAGCTGCAAGTTACTCGAGAGTGAATATTTAAATATTAAAATATTTAACACTGTATTAAGACAACTACGAAAAAAAAAATCACTTTATATTTTTATCCAGGTCATGTAACTGTTTGACCGTCGAGTAAGAGGCCCGGCCCGCATAGTATTGCTCTCTGACGTGCGGCAATAGCTTGGTGTGTAAGTAACCTCCCAGGACGTCCACGACAGCGATCATGGCGCGTTTTCTGGCCACAGAAGACACGATTTTCTTGGCTTCAGCTTTGACCACATCGAAGTACTGCAGGAACCTTACGCCGGCGCCGTCGCCGTCGGTGAAATTCGCCCCGGGAATCAACAACCCAATCGACTTCCGGCACTGGAGTTCTATACAATCGGCCGAAGTCCACGTCTTCCGGTATATGTCCGTGACCTTGTACAGACTGGTGCCGTGCGCGTCCGGACTTCCGGTGCCGCCGTCGATTAGCGGAATCAATATGACCAACATTAACACGCACTCCATGACCATCGGACACCGTCGTCCGTGGCTTACATAGCGACCGCTCGGCATAGCATCACGTGGCGAAGGCATGTGTGAAAATATAAATTGAAACTTACAACAGATCTTTGAACAATAAATCGCAAAAATCTAGCAGAACGCAAAACACTATACGAATATTGTGCTTTTCCTAGAGGATTTAATATTTTTTACAAATCAATAACAATAATATAACCACGGAAACCAAATGAATACGACCACACGGTCAAAACATAAAACTTTTACTCACGTCTATTATAATGTTATTATTATAACATAAGATATAATATTATAACGGTCAACAACATATGTACAGCACGTGTATAGTGCCACTACATAGCGATTTCACATGAAATAAGTTAAGGCGTGTGTCTGATTGATTTTTGTTTTTGGCTTTTGCCATAGTAAATATAGAATATTCTTAGCAGTATCCATATGTTATATGCCCCTTGACGTCCTCCTGCATTAATTAGAATGTCGTATTTAGATGTGGCATTACATAAGATATGATTAAATTAATAGAAAAAACCGTTTCGGGTAGACATTTTGAAAGTTTAAATAGGATGCCTTCATGCCGAACTATGTCAAAAGTATGAAATATGTCTAAGAATACACCAGTACAATGGCGGTTTATTTCGAGTGAAGTAGGGGATAGCATCAACTACTCTGTAACCCTGATGTATCGTACTATATGGGTAGAACTAAAACTAAATTGAGTGGGTGGAAGTATATTATTGCTTCTTAGTATGTATGGGAATATACATTCAAAGGTTTTATAAAAAGTAATTCACATATTTTTGTAAGGTGAGGTAATAGGGACGTAGTGGTCTGCATGCGAAGTAGGAATATCTAGTGTTTCGTTTGATTTAGTTATCATAATAATAATTATTCGTAAAAGTGTCCATAATATAGGAAAATTCAAAATATCAGAGTCTAAAGATTGCGTTATTGAGTACCTACCTAATATGGCTTTTTTTTTTTAGTTTATTTTCTAAAAATATCAATAAAATTTTATTTGTGGGTTAAAAAATCTTGAAAATTGAATGGAAGGCTCATAGCATATTGTTTCAAAGGCAGATGAAAAATATTAAAAATCCTTAGTCACAGTTTTTTTTTATAAGCATTTAAAGTTCAAAAATTGACAAAATATGAAAAGTCACGAAAATTAGCAAATTATTTTGAGTTAAGAATTAGTAGAAATTTTTTTTTTAAATCTAAGATTTGAAATTGAATACAAGATTTCTTATTTTCTTATTATCTACATTTATCAAAAAAAAAATATTTATAAGAAATTCAAATTAGATTTTTATGAGCGTTTTAAATTCAAATTTTTACAACATTGGATATTCACTCGATTTCTCATGTACCTAGTGATTTTCCTATTTTGTTGTAATTCAAAAACGAACAACTGTAGATACATGACAATTTCACTGTATGTTTATTTTAGCATTTCCTCTACACCATACAATTTTGAAAATATTTTGACTCTTTTTGAGCTGTTTACGGACATTTACAGTTTTCAATTTTTTTAGTTTTTTTTTCTATAAATATTAATAAAGTTTTATCTGTTGGACCAAAAATGTAATACAAGGCTCCTGATATATTGTTACAACAGCAGTTGAAAAATATTAAAAATACATAGGCACAATTTTTTTTATAAGCATTTAAAGATCGAATTTTGACAAAATTTATCAAATTTAAAATTAAATAATTATTTTGTAGTTAAAAATTTATAAAATGTTCAACTTTTATATGTAAGGACTGAAAATTTAAAACAAGATTCTACGTAAGTAGTTAATTCTGTTACCAAAAAATCTAAAAATACAGAATGGACAATTTATTTTTATAGTCATTTTAAGACTTTAAGTTCAAATTTGGACGAAATTACATAATAAAAAACTTAGAATAACTATTTTAGTTATTTTGTTGTGATTGTATAATATTAATCGTGGGTAGTTGAAACTTCTAAAGTACACTATTATATATCTATGATAGTATAACGGTTTGTTGTTGATGTATAATGCGTTTTAAGTACCTAATGGATATTGTGATATGATTAATTTGAAATTTATTATAGCTTATAGGTCAATTTTTTTTTTTTAATACCATAGATAAGTATATAATATGTCTTATACCTAGACTGACATACCGTTTTTCAGAATCGTTTTTCTTATACAATGATATTATATCATCGAATTCAAATTTAATACCATTCATTATACAGTGACCCACTTGTAACCTACTGTGCATCAGAGCACCTTTTTAATGTCCTAATTTTGCTATTATCACTGTAAGTTTAAGTATTATAGGCATCTACCCCTACAGTTATTATGTATCTGTTCAGACTCTAAACGATTTTAACTCTTTTAAACATTATATCAGGTCTTTACAATGTTAGGTAGGTACTTTAAGTATTTGATTAAGATTTTGATAACTCATATTAGGGTTAAATATTATATATTATACATTGTTCATAACAATAATAACTAGAATTAATCACTGTCGCACTTCACTAAGTTATCTATTCGCATTAATATTCGCCTTTTAGATTCATTAAAATTGCCTACAGAATAATAGAAAAAAAGATGTGTTGAAAAAGATCCTGTGTTATATGTGTATATTATAGGTATTAGCAATTCGAAAAAAGTGGACGGGTTCGGCGAGCCAGACTATTGAATGCTAGTGTGTGGTATGCCATTCATTTATTGTGTATATGTGTGTGTGTTTTGGTGTATGTGTATATGTAAATGTATATGTGTATATGTAGACTTGAGTGAGTGTACTAGAACAAGTAGGTAACAATGATGATAGAAAGGTAGCTCAAAAAATGGTAACTAAATTATAATGGTAATTAAATTGTTGTATTATTGGTAAAATAGATAATAATATATGCATAACGAAACAACAATATAAAATATAATAACAATCAAAATTGGCCCTTAAAGCTAAATAGTAGGTACAGTATAATAATATGTGACTCTCCTTTCCTCCTCGGGAAGGCAATGAGTAGATGAAAATTTAAATAAATATAATAAACATATAAATTATAGGGTATACGTTTTCTTGATTTTTTTTGTCTTTATTAAACACATAAAAATGATAAATATAAATCAGTAAAGGTGATATGAATAATTCTTATCCCTTGAATTTTTGATTTTCTGGATCATTTGACTACAACGTAATCTCCAACATTTTATGTATAGACATGCAGCTTAAGAAATATCGATTTTGGTGCCATTCAATGTGTATGAAGCATTTTCTCTGAACGACTGATCCGGTATGTTATAGAAATCGCCGATGTCCGCCATCGCGGCTACAACGAAGTCTTCAATCTGACACTCATTGGTTCCTTTCAGTATCCGGAAGTACCCTTTTTCACCCCACCAAAGTCCCCACGAATTTGAAACGATCTAAAGAGTAACAACAAGGAAAACTCTTACTGGTAACACATTATTGCTAGTATTTTTTTATTTTATGTAAGTACCATGATTTTTTTCTAAAGCAATGTAATTATTTTTTCGATTTATTTTTGTTTCATGTCATTACCTTTTTTACAAACATAAAACATTTGTCATTTTGTCTATCATCCAATATAATACTATGCACCTACCCAATATTTTACTGTTTCGCCATTTTGTTGTTCTTCTCCCCAACCAACAATCCTTACAGTATGATATCCTGTTTTCGATCCTAAAGCCAATTTTGAACACCTGTACACGCCCGATTCATACATGAAAAATTCTTTAGACACTTTCATCATGGCTAAATAAACATAACAATAATAATATTACTGTTAATTTTATACGTATACAAGTCGCATATACATTCGAGTTCTAGTAAGGATTTGAGTGCTTCGGTTTCTGGTAAAATAATTAAAATACAAAGTACAACATTGTCACTAACAAAGGTAAGTACAATTAATTACATTACACACCTTGAACGGATCCCCAATTCATGATCTCATCCATAATACCCTCTTCTGTAGCCACTCTGTACATCAGACCAACTCGTCTAAGTGGCGAAGTTTTTTCGGAACGTGGACACGATACGATTAAGTTATCGTTATTTCTCTGATTGGACTGCACCGCACAACCTGTCGCCTGACCATCATACGGGTAACATTCTTCTGTGACGAGTCTGCAAAAGATTTGAAACAAATAAATATATATGCATGGTCAAATCGTAAACATTTATTTCTACTCACCCAAACGTCCTAACCCAATTCCAAGCATTGGTCAAATGGCCACCTTGGCATCCTTGTTGTAGGTCATTGTCACAGGACAACAGGTGTTTCGGTGACAGAGTATCGCACATCAGTCCTTTGGTAATTATAACAAAACGGTCGGTGATCACTTGAGCAGTGCTTATGGCCCAGGACGCGCCACACCAACCCTGATCGATAGGATCGGTAATTTTATTACCAAAAACTTTTCGAAGATCAAAAGACGACTTCAGATCATCTCGATGGAACACCGCTTTCACAGGTACAGTTTGTAAAATCTGTATAAAAAAAATCCATTTAAAAACCACAATATAAAAAAGAATTTGAAAAAAAACTCAAAAGTACATTACTATATCTATATTGTAAAATACCTACTCATATCGCAATTTATTAGAACTATTATCTACAATAAAATAATGTTTCGAAAACGTTATTTCAATAGTCGAAAAACTAACAGATAGAAAGTTGTAAGAAAGCGAAATAGTTGTATGCGTTTTCAAAATGTAATTATTCTTATAAAGTGTTTAAGAAAATGTAAATATTTAATAGAATATAACAGTATGTAGGTATACAGCAGTCGAATTTAAATGTAAGTAAAATATTTATAATTTATATACCTACTAAACAGTGAACGATCCATTTAACGTAAGACACTCATTATTTCAAAAATTATTAACGTTTTTGAAGATATTTCAAAGATACTTAATATTTTTTGTTATAATTTAAATTTTTAATGATATCATGTATTTTTAATTTTCTGTCCCAAAGCAGAACATTTGGGGTAACTACTTCGATACATTCAAATCAAATTTTTGACGATATAGTTTATGAATTATAACTTACACGTATTTAAAGATTAGATTAGTGGAATTCACAAAATTTTAGTCCACTATGGCACTACTCTGTTCATCTAAACTTTAAAAGTTTAAACACTTAAAATTTTAATAAACTACTTATCCAAAATTTGATTTTTTTAAATCCTAATACTATAAATAATATTCAGCTTCTGAATATTAAATTAAAAATGTATTTAATTATTCAAAGAGTAAAAATTATAACAATACAAAATAGTAAAATAGTAATTTTTTTCCAAAGTTTTTATTTATTAAATTACGTTCATCAAATTATTGATGCATATCGATGTTCAACACACCTTTTCCGGTGATTGCAGTGTACCAAGCCGCAACTTAAGTCCGTCGTCATATGTTACGCCCCAAAATTCGCTGTAATATTTGGCAGACCATCCAAATTGAGGATTTTGGGTTTTAATCGTGTTCAAGAGTGAAGGATCGAAAAGACATTCGTCGTGGTTACATATCAGCGTCATATTTTCACCGATTTTTTGAAATTTACTACGATAAACAATATTTAAAATAATTATACCTATTACAGGAAAGCTTTTGATAAGTATGTGTAAATGTCCCATTGTATGTTTTGTTATTCCAAACAAATTTTTTTTCAAAACATTTCTAAATATTATTCCATGTTAGTTAACAGGTAATATATATAACAATTAAAAAGTAAAAACTAACTCACCATGCATTGCAATTTATACTCATAATTTTATTTCCTCCGTTATTACAATTATTCGGTTGGTAAGTTGCTGGAAAAAATACATTAGTAAAATAATATGATTTTAGTCAAAATATTCGACATAACTATATAGCGTCATAAATTTCTAATTATTAATGGTTAAGCCTAGGACGCCTAGGCGTCTCTTGGCCAATTTGTTTTTAGCCTTCAAGGGGGATTTCTTGGAATACTTGGTGATGAATTTTCGCATATCAGAGGATTTTTGCAGTGATTTGTAAGTTAGTATAATATCTATTGTAATTTGTAATATTGTTGGGATTGTCTGATGGAATGTGATGACTGAGGAAATGATGGTATTTATGTAAATTGAGATTAGATACCTACATACCATGTGCATCCAGTGTCGTAATCATAAACTAATCGCCTGAAATACTTCCATTGGGCGAATTTTGGACGATATTGTTTGACCCCAGATTTGGATGACGTGTGCTCAGTATTTTGTTTAATTTAAGTACTCTTAATGATTTTGGTAAATAATAATGTTATAATTATTCTACATAGGTACACTTAGCGATATATTTTTTTTTACTTTTTTTCGGGTGGAACAAGACAAACGGGTGATGTCTCATGTAGCTAATAACAGTTTTATGATATAGAAGAATGATAATCGTATACCTACAATCTACATTGATACATAAAATATGAGTATAATTATTAACAAATAATTTATAAATTGTCACTATGAATTTATTATCGAATAGGTAGTAATAGGTGATTGGACTGGCTGCCATGTTGATGCAGTCGATGAGTTTGGGCGACCCGCTACGCGTTGGGTATTACGCTAGCCGGAAGACAATCGATGCAGAAACGAGATATCACTCAAGTAAGCTTGAACTTTTATGTATGGTGTGGTCCATTCACAAGTTAAGACAATTTTTGCTGAGCGTGAAGCGTTTGTTGTTTATATGGATTGCCAAGCATTGATGTAAATGAACAATTTTAATTTATTGTAATAAATGGTAAATTTGTACAAACAATTTGTTTATTTTGTATTATTATTATTATTTTGTTTTTTGTTTTTGAAAAATTATTATGCAGAAATGTTGTAAGTTGTTTAATTATTATAAATTGTGTTATTCCATGAAATGTTAACTAATATTATTGTACAAATTGAAATTGTAAAAAAAAACCAAAAAAAGGTATTTTAAATGTAATTGCAAAAAGCAAAATTGTAACTGTTGAGGACAACAGTCTTGAGCAGGAAGGGCCGAGTATAAACTCCGCCAGATAGCGTGTTTCACGAGGTCGACTCAGCGCTCGAACGTTTAAAAAGTGATCAATAAAGTCGCTTATATTGTTGTTTGAATCAGTTGTTTGTGATTTATATTAATCGTTGCTCCTATTTGACAGGATAATTTAACACGACCCTGTTTTGTCAGCTTTAGAAATTAGAGTGAATTTACTATCAATTATTATCTTCAAACTTAAAGTTAATAACATTATCTTTGTCCATGTGTTGGCTTTTTTACGATATTTTGTGTTTAATGATAGTTACGGGTATTTTTATATTGTTAGAATTTACATATGCATAACTAGCATACAAATGGAAATATAGTAAAATAATGTAAGGACACAAATAAGGTTTTGAACTTTAAATTTGATAGTACATATAATTAACCCATTAGCGCCGAAATTTTTTTTTTTATTTTTTTAAATTTTTTTATTGGTCAAATTCCCAATGAGAAATTAGCTTCTAAAAATAGGTCTACCTATGTTGCCATATGGCAACGCACGGCGCTAATGGGTTAAGTCATTTATCTCTAATACTCAAGCTAACCACACAATTCTGGAGGTTCTGCTTATCGAAATTTTACTATAGGTGTATTACGCGTGTGTCTGCTGAGTGAGAAAATATAGTGCGCTGACATCCTTGTAAGGCGAAAACCACTCATGTTTACCGTTTTTCCGAGGGAGGGTCGCAGGGTCGGGTCTGGTTGTGGTCACGCCTTTGCAGAACGACATGAAGTCGGGACAACAGTCTTCGGACCCGGTGCGGTTAAGGTAGCAGAAATCGTCGCAGTAGCACCGGGTGGTCGATATCGGTACGTAGCAATCATCCTGCCTTTCAACGAAGCATCCAATTTCTGCACAGTAATCAAAGGCCGAGTCGTCGGCGATGCCTTCGTCGGCCGCCACGATTTTCAAGGCGCACGCTAACGTCACCATTATCGCTGCTACAGCAACCGTGGTCATTCGACTGCAGTTCTGGTGCCCCGCCTTCATCTGACAAATAAAAAACCTTATTTTAAAAATTTTGAAACGACTGATAGATATTTCATTTCCATACATTTTTTCAACTGATTAAATTCAAAACTACCCGTTGTAACGAGACAGAATGGACTATGTTATTTTTTTTTCTCACAATAGCGTGTGGACACGCTATCGACGCGCCGCCCGCAGACCACGCCGGAACTATCACACACAGTTTCGTACGCAGCAGGCGCAAGTAAGACACACTAGATGTCGCGGTACTCGCCTACCGTTTTGAACGACACGTTCCAGCGACATTTACGGATGAAAAAACGAAACTTACAAGTAAGTTTCGTCCCACTACTAATAAGAAAATGTCCCCGGATGCACACCTTTGATTCACGAGACCACCCGCAGATGTAGAACCATCAAAGGTCAACAAAATGCTACCCACCGAAGTCTATGATCTCAAAACCAGCCGTAGTCATCACATGTAGTAAATAGACCCCGGTGAACCGGCAAAATATACTATTCTCTCTCCGCTAGTAGTCGTATCTGGTGTTTACCGTATTCACGGAAGCACAAACAGTGCGACTTACTTCATTCCGCCGCCGCACTTTCTTGCCGCTGGTGTTTACCGTTATCAAACGGAAGCACAGACAGTCCGGGCAAGAAAAGTCGTTCGTTCCGCCGCCGCTCTTTCTTACCGCTGGTGTTTACCGTTATCAAACGGAAGCACATACAGTCCGGATAAGAAAAGTCGTTTATTTATTTCGCCGCTGCCGAACGTTGTTTTCCGCCGCCGCTCTTTCTTGCCGCTGGTGTTTACCGTTATCAAACGGAAGCACAGACAGTCCGGGCAAGAAAAGTCGTTCGTTCCGCCGCCGCTCTTTCTTGCCGCTGGTGTTTACCGTTATCAAACGGAAGCACATACAGTCCGGGTAAGAAAAGTCGTTTATTTATTTCGCCGCTGCCGAACGTTGTTTTCCGCCACCGCGCTCTCTTGCCGCTGGTGTTTATCGTTACCAAACGAAAGCACATACAGACCGGGCAAGAATCGCCGATTAGTATTTCGCCGCTGCCAAACGTTGTTTTTCGCCGCCGCTACCCTTTCTTGACACTGGTGTTTACCGTAACCAACGGAAGCACAGACAGTCCGGTCAAGAAAAACGTTATTGTGTTTGAACTGCCGATCGAGAAACTGCGTTGCAGTCTCGACCGAGCATACCGAACCGCCGATCGAGAAACAGCGTTACATAGTTGAAACCGTGATAATATTTCCGATCGATTCACAGTGTTGGAACGTCGATTTTCATACGTAAAACACACGGTAAACATATTGATACGGTAGTAATCAATAGTTTTACCTACCTAACCGTTTACTTTCGCACAACTGCTAATACATCGTCTAAGTAAACGACCATTTCGGACTACCCGCAACAAGCAGCTCAGTTGGACATTACAGTGACAGTTTCCAAGCAGTATCCGTGAGTCCAATACTACTACCTTGTATTTTGTCAAATTTATCCTTGCTAAACGTATTTTTAAATGTACATTGCTTAATGCAATTAAAATCATATATAAAAGAAAATATTGTCACTTAATAACTACATTGAACAATATTGTCAATAAACAAAAGATAATATTATATTTGAAGCAAATACTTGTCTCTGCATTCATTTATTTATATTACATTGGCGCCCAACTACGAGGCTCGATACAGAAGAAAATTCTACTTCGACTCCCAAGATTAAAAAGTGAAGATTTTCTACGTCATATTCTACATCGATTTGCAAAGAAGAAAGCTACATCGTGAACATGGCACCGAAGAAAAACGTAACAGAAGAAACGTTCCGCGCATTTCAACGTGAAGTGGAACAAAACAGTAAATATCTAGTTAATCAATTATTACAAAAAATTGGTAAACTAGAAGAAGAAAATAATAAGAAAATTATAGAAGTTGAAGAAAAATGCAAAAATGAAATTGAAAAACTAAGTGAAAATTACTACAGAGAAATACAACATCTTGAACAACAAAACAATGACAACATTCAAAATTTAAAGAAAATGTTCATAGATCAAAAACAAAATGCAAATATTATGAACAACGAACATCGAAATTCAAACGTTGAAATATCGAAACCGCTGTTCTATGCAAACAATAAAGACCAGCATCCAATCGAATTTTTACAAAGTTTGGAAGAATATTTTAAAGTCAAACAAATGAGTAAAGAAGAAAAGTTGATTATAATTCGAGACTGCTTGAAAGGTACAGCCAGCAATTGGTATTCGACTGTAAAATTTCAAGTACGTGATTATGCAAATTTTCGTGATGTATTCATTGACGAATTTTGGTCAAGACAAATACAGATACAAACCTGGAGCAGCTGTCTCAACACCACGCAAATACCGGATAATGTCACATACCGAGAACACTTCTCCCAATGGGCATCCAAACTACGTCACCTACAAGTCCCTGAGCTGTCCGAGGAGGAAATTGTAAGTAACGTGGCAAATCATTATCCTGGCTACTTACGTGCAATATTAGTATCATTACCAGACAAATCGGTAATCAATGCTATGAAGGTACTAGGTGCGGAGGAAAGCCGCAGAAGTAAACCATTGGCTACAGAAAACAATTCTAGTAATCAGAAAAGCAACAATCAAAACAATAACAGCTGGAGCCACAGAACACCACAAAATGATTGGAGTCACAGAACCCAACAGCGGAACAACAATCAGCCACGGAACAACAGGTGGAACAATAAAGACGAACAACCATCACAACAATTGCCGCCACCACAGTCTCGTGACAATACACAACAAATAAACCAGGTGACTACCAATAATGACAGAGGGGACAATCCAGGCACATCGCACGCCATCAACCTCATACAAGATAAGGAAGAATCATTCAGTCCATACATTCAGTGTTGGGTTGAAGGAGAAGAGGTAGAACTATTGGTCGACACAGGGGCGACTATTAGTGTCCTTACCAAAGAAATCGTTGACGTCATAATTAAAAAGGATCCGACTATTCCACAACTACCTATCAACGGAGTACGGATAAGCAACGCAGTCGGAAAACAAATCTGTAAGATTTCCAAACAAATATTCTGCAGGTGTCAACTTAATGACGCTGTGTTCCACGCCAACTTCATACAAGTGGACGGACTCAACGAAAAAGGCATTATCGGGGCGGACATACTCAATCAACACAAAGCTCAGATAAACTTCCGTAACCACACCATACAGTTTGAAGTCGATAACCAGCCATACTCAATACCATTCTCAAAAAAGCTGCCTAAACCAATAACGACAGACAGCAATCTACGAGAAATAACGTTAATCGATCAAGACGAGATGGACGACACGATCGACATCAGCAGTGACGAACAAGAACAGTTCAACTCAGTCATGAAAAAATATCAACATATTTTTTCCGACAATCCGGGAAAAATCAAACAATTCGAGTGTCAGATCCGCGTCACCCCTGGGGAACCGATCTATCAAAAGCCATACCCAATCCCGATGTCAAAGGCGATCAAAACGGATAAAGAAATTCAAAGGATGTTAGCATTAGGAATAATAGAACATTCAAGTTCACCGTGGTCTTCACCCATGGTGGGTGTGGAGAAGAGAAATGGAGACATCAGAATCTGTCTAGATGCCCGCAGAATAAACACTCGAATCATACCAGACCGAGAGCGACCAATGAACATGGAGGACATCATGAATAAATTCAGGGGAGTAAAATACCTGAGTTCCATCGACCTCACCGCCGGCTACTGGCAATGCTCACTAAAACAGGAATGTCGCGAAATAACAGCATTTCTACACAAGGGCCGCAATTATCAATATAAGGTATTACCATTTGGTTTGGTCAATTCCGTTGCAGAATTTCAAAAAATCCTCGATCAAGTACTAGGACCTGAAATTTTACAATTTGTAGCCATATATGTAGATGACCTACATATCACATCCAACAGCTTCAACGAACATATGGACCATTTGGAGGCCATATTCGACCGATTCGATCAGTACAATGTTAAAATCAATATCAACAAATCACACTTCCTGAGACGGAAAATCACCTTCCTGGGCCACATAATATCTGAGAAAGGTATCACCATGGACCCCGCGAAAGTCCAAACGATACAAGATTTTCAGCCTCCACAGAATAAGAAACAGGTACAAGCTTTCCTTGGGTTCATCAACTTCTATAGGAAGTACATCCGGGACCTATCGAAAAATACCGAAGTTCTCAGTGCCTTGATCAAAAAAGGAATTCCATGGAAATGGGACCCACCACAGCAACAGGCCTTCGAAGAAATCAAAAAGCAGTTCCTTGAAGACATAGTAATCCAATATCCAGATTTTTCAAAGAAATTTTACATCAGCACAGACGCGTCAACCACGCACATTGGCGCAGAGCTATTCCAGAAAACTGATGAAGGACAGCATCAGACACTCAGCTTCATCAGCCGAACGTTGAACTCGGCAGAAAGAAACTACGGCACCACCGAACTTGAACTGTTAGCCATCGTCTTTGCATGTAAAAAGTTTCGCAATTACATATTAGGACACGAAACACATTTACTCACCGACCACCAGGCACTGACGTTCCTGAACCGCTGCCAACTACTCAACGCACGACTAACCAGATGGACTATAAAACTCCAGGAGTACCATCTGAAAATTGAACACATTCCAGGAAAGGAAAACATTGGGGCGGACACACTCACCAGGTACCCACAAGCGCCCGACGATCAGTTAGGGAAGAACGGTATTCAGATCACCATCAACCAATTGACGATCATGGAGTACAGTCCCACATTGATGCAACAATTTGATCATCTCAAAAAACTACAAGAGGAAGATATTAAATTAAAAAGGATCATACAACAAGTAGCCAGTAAGAAAAGTCAACACTTTTTCATGTTCAAAGAGCTACTATTTACAAAAAATGAACATGGCAGACATCAAGTAATGATACCACAATCCATGAACCAGTCAATAATCCAAGAAACTCA